TAGAAAGAAGCATGAAAACACTTATATAATATGTGAATCTCACGGTCGCAGGATCATCAAAGTCTCCTTTCAAAACAAAGGAAGGGGGCATTAAAATTCAAATCATACAGTGCTTTGTGTCTGCCAAAGATAACAACCAAGACGATAAGGATTGATTCCACGGGAGGTTGCAGTCTGTCGTAGAAAAGTGCCGAGTAAAGGATTTGACCAGTCTGATGAAATACCTAAACTTCAGGGTTGGAATGGTGGACAACACTGGATGTGAAGACATTATGGGACGACATGGTCTGGAAGAAAGTAACGAAAACGATCAGAGATTTGCGAACATTTGTGCCTTCAACAAATTGATCATAGGCGACACCATATTCCTTCCAGACAGATGCATACACAAAGCTACATGGATTTCGCCAGATCAAACCTCTCAGAACCAAAAATCAACCATATTTACATCAATAAAATGTTTAGAAGGATCATGAAAGATGTGCGGTCAATGAGAGAAGTTGACATAGCTTCATATTTGTAGTGAATGAGAACACAGGTGGGGCAACCGAATTTTATTTAACGAAAATTACACAGTTACTCAGTAAAATTGGAAAACCATATGGTAAATCGTTAATTTATTCGCAAAATATCAGTTCATCATATCGAACTGGACTGTTCCAGTTGCAAAACATCAATCCATTGTCACTACTATTCATGCGTTTCATACAAATTCCATTGTGTTCTAACTCTTCCTTTCTTGATCTTCCCCCGCATCTTCTACTGCCAGACATTACATTGACACTCACGTCATATACTACTTATAAGTAGCTCGCGCCACAATATCATCATTTGGAGGTGGCCGAGATGACACCGGAATTCAATAAGCACTAGATAACTGAACACAACTTTACAAAAGTTCAATAAAACTATTTTTCAGAACAGTAGCAGACCCAACAAACTCAAAATAGCTCCCAGCAGTCTGTCAGTCAGCCAGACATTCAACAATCTACTCAAGGAAGAGGAAACGACCATAGAGAACAACTAATACAAGGATCGAACAGCTGTCAATCAACAATAAAATGACGGCTTGGTTGAGGCTGCGAAATACCTTGGATTAACACCGTTGCATGGCATCTCAGTGGTTTAGAGATTAGGTGTTCAAACTCAAATACTCAAGATCCTTGTTTTTTATTCTTGATTGTTGGGGCAAGGATGTACACTTCTGGTGATTTCCATAGGTTTATAAAAACGTAATCTATTCTACGTTATTTCTAATTGGTTTCTGACTACAATGACTTAGAGAATAGAGTGAACATTCGGAGTCAAATACACATACATCCAGCTGACCAATCTTAGAATAAGACGAAGCTCTAGTCCTTTAATTCATTGATAGTCATTGATAGTCTATCTATTTTTGTAATCAACTTACGTCATCATGAATGCATCCATGTAACCTTGGCACAAGATCTCACTCATTCTACCTACCAATCATGACTGATCAATTGTAAGTCGTAAATATCAAAAAACGCAGGAAATACTCTGTGCCATTATGCTTAAACTCTCGAGGATTTTTTGGTTAAAATTTTTTTATTGAAATTATAATAAATCGATCAATCAATTTTAAAAACCACCATAAAAACCTAGAAGGTCGTTTCTTCCTACTATCGTCGTACTCATCATCAGTAGTAGTACATCCACAATCCTTTCTCGCGGGAATCAGACCCAAGAACCTTCGGTCTGATGCACGAAAACCTAATCCTCCAGAACAATGAGCTGCCAGTGTTCATGTGTAACTCTAAACAATCCCATTTGTCTTCGGTAGTTACTGCCTAACACAAGACTGGGCTGAATTTCACTAGTCACCGTTTCTCACCTGGGAATCCGAAAATTGTCTCACGAAGCTAGTCATTGCAATTATCAATCTATCGTATTACTAAAGCGCATTCTACACATAAATATAATGAAAGACAATAAAAGTAATGTCGTGCGCGCTACTTATAAGTAGTATATGACGTGAGTGAAAATGTAATGTCTGGCAGCCGAAGATGGGGGAAGATCAAGAAACGAAGAGTGGGAACACAATGAAATTTGTATGAAATGCATGAATAGTGAGTGAAATGTCAGACAATGGTTTGATGATGGATTGAAGATTTGCAAATTAACGATTTACGATATGGTTTTCCTATTTTAATGAGTAACTCTGTAATTTTCGTTAAATACAATTTGATTGTCCTCACCTGAGTTCTCCTTTACTACAGTAATAAATAATTCAATGAAACATATTGATTGATCAATATTTCTTAAAGAATAATCATTCAAACGAATCAAAACCTAACCTAGAAATAAAGTTCGCGCTATTCATATTGTTCATTTAAACAAAATGTTCAATAATTTCATTGATTTAAGCTTCATATAAGTAAGCTTCAATACACACTTTCATATCTTAATTCAGTCTATTTCTATCTAAATTACATGTGTCAAAAATATCGTTTTTTTAAAAAAAAAGATTAATTTTAAATTATCGATTGAGAATGCAATAAATGTGATGAGTTATCGATTGGTTTTTTGATGACATGTTCAATATGTGCTCAAAAGATACCACCACCTATTGAATATTGATCAATAATTGTGTACATACATACAGACGACAACTGGTTTCTTTTCTTTCACAAATCATAATTATTATCATGATTATTCACTATGATAATTCGCTATTTGATTCTTTTAGATCATTTCATTTTATTCTGATTGTATGCCGATAGTAGCTGTTACCTTGACGTGGTGGTCGGGCTTGTCTATCGTGATAACCCAACCGAGCTATACTGGCTGGAACATATGTTCCTGAAGGTTCTACTACCATGTCAGGCAGGTCGATTGGAGAATGCTCAGACTAAAAGCAGCTATCCAAGGTCTGTGAGCGAAGCCGTACTGCTGACTGACTGCGGAGGGGTGTGACAGCAGTAAGGTGTTTCCCTCGGATAACCAGCATCTGCAGAGCGTTACTGCCTTCTCATAAGGAAAGAAGGGTTAGAAAAGGTCGACCCTAAAAATGTCACACCTCACCCTACCTCACGGATTTCCGTCTCCTTGGGTAAGGGTGCCCACTAAGGGCCTTTAAGAACGGAGCTAATCCTCAAAAAACCTTTCATAAAAAGGCCGTGCGTGACTGGCCTCAAGCAGTTGTCCCTTGGGCTCTGCGGTCACGCACCCAGGTCTGTAAGACCAACACTAACCTACCTTCCTTTTCAGGTCCCTCAAGAAACAACCTTCCACGGTGTGGGCAGCCGGGAAGTGACAACCGCCCTCATACCCGTAACAGCAGGCGAGAGACCGAATTGGTCAAAATCAAATCCTTCCTACACCCACACATACCACCTCTCTTCTCTCCACAACTAACTCTTCTCACATTCATTTATCATACTGCACAGCTAATGCAAACGATGCGATTTCACGAAACATCATTCTTGGTCTCTTGAAACCTCGTTCCAGACTGACTGACTGACTGATTTTGATTGTATTTTATTTTTTCGATTGGTTTTTATTCCATGTTCAATATGTGCTAGAAGATACCACCTACTAAACATTTATCAATAATTGAGTATACACAATATACATATATATATGTATTACGGGGTTGTGAAGATTGTTAAGTTACACATTTTTGAAACCATGAATCGATCAATGTTAGACCACTCCATTAGAAACCTGGAAGCACTGAAAGACGGCCGTTTCACCCTGGTATGGGACTACTCACCAGCAGTGCGCATCCACGACCCCTGCACCCCGCAGGATTCGAACCCAGGACCTTCAGGATTGTGCTCGAACGCCTAACCATCGGACCACTGGGCTGGCATCCAACGGTGTTAATGTCTAACTCGGATAAATTCACGGAGTTGCGCAACCTCATACACAGTCTTCTGTACTAGTTACTGTCTACACCCGAACAGGTTGAACTTCACTGGTCACGCCCAGTGGTCCGATGGTTAGGCGTTCGCGCACAATACCGAAGGTCCTGGGTTCGAATCCTGCGGCGTGCAGGAGTCGTGGATGCGCACTACTGATGAGTAGTCCCATACCAGGACGAAACGGCCGTCTTTCTGTGCTTCCAGGTTTCTAATGGTGGTGTAACATTGATCGATTCATGGTTTCAAAAATATATATATATGTGTATACATAGACAAATCATGATTATTATCATGATTATTCACTGCGATTATTCACTATTTACTTCATATTATTCTGAATGTTTCTTTTATTTTTAATTTTTCTCGAAAAATTCAAAGAAAAGATCAAATGAAAGTAAATCTATCTGTCATTTTCTTGTTAGTTCTTCTTTTATTTATTTCTCACATAATTTTATCTTGTCATTAATGTATTCTCTTTTGACTAAGATATAAATGAATATTAGCAAGCCATAAGTAGGCATGATTCAACTTATTGCATTGATCTAATCATGTCAACTTCAAAGCGAAGAAGAGTATGTGGATGAGTAGTGAATAACGAACGAACGAACGAACTAACAAATAAAGAAAGCGCACACACAAGCATCATCATCATCATCATCGATCATCATCGTCAGTGAGTGTCTGTGTGTGTGTGTGTGTCTGTGGAGATAGAAAACAGCCTACACATTCATTCAGTAGTGAGTTATATTTATTTATAGGCATATATATATATGTATAGAGAGAGGATAGATAGATTCTATAAATATATATAAATATATATATGTGTATATTTCTCATAAATATTTTCAAAATCACACTCTTACAATTTGTATTTTATTAGTTAGTTAGTTAGTGTGTTATTGTGTAATTACACTATTTCAGTGTGTGTCTGTCAGTGAATAGAAATCATCAAAATGATTGATAATTTTTTTTTGTAAGCAACAAATCAAAACAAAATGAAATGACATTCAAAAGAAACGAGAGAGTGAGAGTGAGAGTGAGAGACAGAGAGAGACATTGGAATGTGCTTCATTCTTGTCAAAATTGTTTCAATGATTCTTGTCGTGATCAGTATCATCATCGTCATCATCATCAACATCATCTTCGACCGAATCTAGACAAAACATTATTTTGAAAATATTAGAGAAAAATAAAAAGGAGAATAAGATTATTATTATTAAGTATCTTTTGTGAATAATTAAAACAAAAAGAGGTTTTATTCATATTGTGGTGCGAGCTACTTATAAGTAGTATATGACGTGAGTGTCAACGTAATGTCTGGCAGCAGAAGATGCGGGGGAAGATCAAGAAAGGAAGAGTTAGAAGAACACAATGGAATTTGTATGAAACGCATGAATAATGAGACAATGGATTGATGTTTTGCAACAGCAACAGTCCAGTTCGAGATGATGAACTGATATTTTGCAAATGAACACGATTTACCATATGGTTTTCCTATTTTACTGAGTAACTGTGTAATTTTCGTTAAATACAATTCGGTTGCCCCACCTGTGTTCTCGTTCACTACATTTGGTGTCGCTGCCTGCTCGGAGGAAGGAGCTCCCGTGGTCGAAGGAGTTGGAGAAAGGAGATTGGCGGAGCTTCCTGGAGGAGTTTGTGGCCGCGTTGGAGCTGGCGGGTTTGAAGGTGCCCGGGTCGGAGTTGGCGGTACTGAGGACGCTGCGGGGAGGTGAGGCGGAGGCGGTATACGACAGCCCGGACGGTGCCGCCGAGAAGACGGCGTGGGAGACGGTCGCCGGCAGCTGATGACGGAGATCGACGGCCCAGTGAACAGGGAGGAGGCGCAGCAGAGTTCCGGTTGGCGAGGCTGTCAGCTGATGGTGACCCGTTGGTACTGGCTGTGGAGCTCACGATGTTGCTGCGCCGTACGCCGCTGAGTATGGATGGGGAGTCGGGGGCACAGCTGTTGGTGTCGCAATTTATCGAGAGTGTGCCTGCCACTGTGTCCCAGCAGCGGGAACTAGTAAATGCTACACGTTGGATAGATGCACACAAGGCTAAGGGTCCTGGGCTCGAATCCCGCGAGTTGCAGGAGTCGTGGGAGAGCGCTACTGACGGTCTCAAATTGTCTGAATCTTTCAATGAATGTCAACGACTGCCAAAATGATTAATCTCTTTTCGGTACATGTACATCCTATGAGGGTAGTTTCAATATGCGAATTAAGAGATAAATGGTAGCGTTAGCGTTTTTCTGTTACATTCTCTGATGACTGTGGATAATTTTCCTGATTACAGTTGACCTTGTGTTGGCGACAAATCTTTTCAGTGTCTGTCCTATCAATTTTTCGATAAGTGATTTGCCTACCATGATGATAATCAGTGATGCAGAATCAAGATTTGGAGAGAGTCTGAGGAATGGATACCACATCCAAAAAAACGGCAGCGGATGCGGAAATTACCCTGTCTCAGTAGGGGTAGGTAGAGACAAAAAATACGGATATGGGACTCAGTTGAGGCTCTATAATTCGAAAGAGTTCTGTCTAAATCCTTTAACGAGGACAAATGAGCAGCCGTCATAACTATAGATTCACAAGAGTATACTAAAGATGAACGTAGCTAACAGTGAAATCAAGGACGCGAGTTTCGTTCCGTTTAGTGATCTTCTGATGGACGATGTGTCAGCATCTCATATAACGCTTGGCAATGTTGACATAATCCACACAGAATACAAAAGTGTCAAAAGCTACTGATTCATCACAATCCGAGAATTCCATGAGGACATTCAGATAATCAATATGCATCAATCAAACATCAGTCCATTGCAAAAGCTAGTGACTGTCTGAACCAGGTAGCTAATTAAGTAGAATGGTAGCAGTTGAGGTTAACAGTACTAGGTTCAAGTTTCAGAGTGAATAATGACTCTGAGATGCAGGCATACCGACTGACGAGTCGACAGTACAAGGAAATGCCCATCCTATTTTCCAACTCTACCCACCATCCATGACTTCTCAACTATTACATTCTATGAATAACTGCCTTAAACAGAATAGGACTGATCTGCACTCTTTACGCCTCCTCACTAGAATTCCGAGAATTCCCAGCTGAAGTTGATCACTAGTGAGCAAACGATAATCGCTATGTCCTATTGTGAAGATTGTTGCATCTCATTGGAAAATTGAATTGATTATTTACGATTCAATATTTATGACATTTTATAGAATCAAAACTATCAATAGTAAGCTTGTAAGTTACATATATTATTGAAACTAATTTATTAGTTTTCGTGATTACTAACAAAATGGTTCACTAACTTATTTTTTATTTAAGAAAATTAAGAAATTTTATATTAGTTATCAACAGTCATACAAGCTACTCATCAGTTATCTTTATCATAAAGTTCTAACTGTTAGTTGAAATACATAAATACATACGAAGCCTTATCAGTTTATTTCTTCAAATGTTAACAGCGATTATTATTCAGTTCAGGATATGCATAGCGACCTCTTACCATATTACAGTAATTTATGTAGTATTACTTATACTACTAGCTATTTTAAAAGTAGTGTGATTTTCTTGAAATAATATTACGATTTTAGACATGAACATCTTTGAATTCCGACTAGGTCAGAGGTTCAGAGGTTAGGTGTTCGGTTGCAAAATCTGACGTCCTGGATTCAAATACTGTGCTAGTAGCAGGAGTCATAGATGCGTATTTCTGCTTATGAGTCCCTTACCAAAACGAAACGACGAAACGGTCATCTTTCAGTGATTCCAAGTGTCTTTATAATATGTCGATCTGACAAATGCTGGGGACGTTAGATCCTCAAAACTCACTTTTGGAAAAAGTCCTAATTTTGTAATTTATTTAGGGAAATTTTGATTTTTTTTATGTTTTCGCGCATAAGACGCTTATTTGACCTTCAGCTTACATTTCCCACTTGGAAAATCCTTCACTATCATTGGTTATTGGATTAGTTTATTCCAATTATTTTGTAGCTCTCCCAAGGACGTTTATATCATTATATAAATAAGCTTTATTTGTTTTTTCCCGTGCCTGTAGACATACATTCTCTACGCCTTATGAAGACTTCTTACTCTACTAGTTATCAGGGCCTGATTAGAATAGCCTATCGTATCACTGCATCATGCGTCTGTGCTCCGTTTACCGACTAAGGCGAACATACCAAATATATATACATATATATATTATCACTGTTAAAGTACTTACCTAGGTCGACCAATAATTGCAAAATATTCATTTAATTTATGTAAATATGTTCTTAATGCTTCAGGTGTTTCAAATATAAATGGTCTTTCTGGTGGAACAATTTCAGCTGCTCTTGTTCGAATTGTTTTCTCTTCATAAGCTTGTTGTTGCTGTGGTTGTGGTTGATCGTTATTATTGTTCAATAGAGAATTCAGCGTCATTCTATTGATTGGTAAATAATTTGTATCCTCTTGTAAATGTTTCTTCCAATTATATGCATTGATTTGTCCATTGATTTCATGTATAGAATTCATCATGAATAATAGTAGTAATGTTAACATGTAAATATAACATAAATGATAATTGAATTTCCAAACATTTTTTTGTGATGAAGACATTATTTTCTTTTTTTAGAAACTCTTTTTGATTAGCTGAAAATAGAAAATGAACAAAAAAAGTGGTCTTCATTAATAAGGAGATTACCGTGTGTTCTAGTTCTAGTGAAAAGTCATTATTAGTGGAGTGAAACAATGTTTATCGAAAACAGTAGATGATGTAGCGCAAGACTGTGGATGGATTGAAGTTTGACATTAACATCGTTAGATGTTGGCTTGGTGGTCCAGAGGTTAGGCATTTGATAAGTTCGTCACTTAGTATGCTCGAGGCTATTACGAGTTTACCTTAGTCGATAAACGCGAACGAGACTTTTACCAGCTTCCAGGGAGGCTAAATTGAATACCCAAAGTCGAAATAAAAGGCTTTGTAAGCGTAGAAGTATATTCTGCAAACACACAGCAATCACAGTACAATCAAGCATACAACTCTCGTTTATTTATACATCATAGAAACGTCCTTGAGACAGTTAAGAAAATAGCATACTAAAATACACAGCAGACAATCACAGCCATGGATTTTCCTGGTGGGAATTGAAATCTCAAGGTCATCTGATCAGCCCATGCTGGCAAATTTTAGTCAAAAGTTATGAAATATAAGTCAACAATCTCTTTGTTTCTCAAATACATTTTATTAGTAAACGGTGCTTTTTTTCTCTATCCAATAAACGACTGTAATTGAGAGCTCAATGTGTCAAGTATCATTGAATAAGTTTTTTCACAGATTTCAGATTAGAACTGCAAGTTTTTTTTAAACATTTACAATAGAACTATGAATGACCTGCAAGTGAATTTATTTCCGAATATCAACCGATGACACTTTTAAATCAAAAATTGCTGACAAAGTTTGAAATAATCAAAAACGTCTAATTAATAATGATTACTTCATTTAGAATACAATTACGTAAAGTGGATTTCAACGTAAACTAATTTTTAGGTCATATATATATATAGTTTAAGTGTAATGTCAACATTTTGCAAAAGATTAGAACTTAAAAATGCTTTGAACTGGTGTTATTTACAACACTACTTAATTACTTATATCTGTCATCCTCTAATGGAGCACTCTGGTCGGCCACCAGTATTCTCCAACCTACTCTGTTCTAGAATTAAGTAGTATATATATTTTAACTAAAATATATTTCACTTTGACATAATTTCATTCATACACATGACACTGTTCATTTATATCATTTTGAAATGCTATCAAATATGTAGTGTCAGAAGTAATTGTGTTTTTCCTGATTGTTCACGTCAGAAATAATTATTATGTTTAAAAGACTTTTAGCAAATACTGTTGTGACCTTTTGAAGTAATCATTAAAATCATTTTAGTTTTTATGATGAACAAGAGAGTACCACCAGATTGTAGAAATCTCCAAAGTTCAATAGTATGTAATCAAGACAAAGTTAATATTTGTCATAAAAATATTCATTAGAAAATTAAGTGAAATAAAAGTCGAATACTTCAAAATTAGGTCATTTGATACAATAATAGTAGTGTGGTGTGAGCTACTTATAAGTAGTATATGACATGAGTGTCAACGTAATGTCTGGCAGCCGAAGATGGGGGAAGATCAAGAAGAAAGGAAGAGTGGGAACACAATGGAATTTGTATGAAACGCATGAATAGTAGTGACAATGGATTGATGTTTTGCAACAGGAACAGTCCAGTTCGATTTGATGATGAACTGATATTTTGCAAATTAAAGATTTATGATATGGTTTTCCTATTTTACTGAGTAACTGTGTAATTTTGGTTAAATACAATTCGGTTGCCCCACTTGTGTTCTCCTTCACTACAGTAGTAACAATAATAGTGAACTCTTACATACACCAATTCAAATGAGTTAACGAACTACATATATATACACATATGCATCCTTTAAGTAACTAACTGTCAAAGTGAGCCATATATATATATATATATATATATATATATCGGAAATGCTAAATAAACAGTAACTATCGAAGAAAATAGGTGCGGCTGCGCAAAAATTCTTAGATTGATCAGAGTTAGACGTTAACATCGTTGGATGCCGTCCCAGAGATCAGGTGTTCGCGCGCAAGACCAAAGGTCCTGGGTTCAAAACCTATGTGAGTAGCAGGAGTGCTGAAAGTTGTGCATTGCTGATGAGTGGTCCCATACTTGGATGAAACGGCCGTCTAAAGCTGCTTCCAGGTTTCTAATGGTGGTCGTCTAACAATGATTCATTCATGGCTTCAATGTGTTGTAAACAACGATCTCCATAATAGTATAATGCATGATCAATACATCACATGACTTGAAATCGTTCACTATGCATCAGGTTCCCTGAATCTTCGTAATTTTAGTTCGCTGTTATGATATGATATGACATGGCATCTTGAAATGATTTAATCATGTTTCAGGTTCAACAATTGTATATTTACATATATATTTAACAGTTAATAAGCCCTCTATAGTTTCCAATGACACCTTAAATGATTTCTGCTTCCAAAGACAAATAGTGTTTTTCAAATTTTTTGAAAAAATAACAGTACATCATATTATTAAGGTTTGGATTATTTCAAATTCTATGTACATGGTATTATTTTCAGTTTGTTTATTGTTTCTACAATATGTTGAAAAAATTAGCAAACATTAAAGCCTACTCAATTTCTATTAGTAGTCTGAATCTTTCACATCGATGTTTAAGATTGGAATTGGTCAATTTCTTGAGAATATGTACATCAATGGGACGATACCAATAATCAATACAAAGGGATTAATTTCCCATTTCATTGCAAAAGGCAATTGAATGTCTGAACTTAATAGCTACATTACTAACGCAATGATACTTGAAGTGAATTGGGATCTAGGTTCTACTGCTGAAATAGATATCAAATCTAGGATACGGCAGATATATTGAGTTGGAAGGCCTTCTACATTCCACTGTTAACCAATATGCATCTCCATTTTCGCCTACAGACAGACAAGTACAACGCAGAACTTCGTATGTACGTACGTACGTCAGTTCAGGTTGCCATTCCCCATCAGCACAGAGACGCAACTGTGAGTTCAAATCCAAGAGTGATAGTGATAGTAGATGTATTAGCAGCTATGGAGAAGATTAGGGAGCGAAGATATGATTCGAGAAGTATAATTCAGTGAGATGAATTTAGGAGCAGAAAGAGAGAGATGGTTAGAATTAGAGAGAACACAAAGAGTGGATGCACCCGAGCCATTGCAATCGATTCTGAGCCATGTCATTCAAGGTCTCTAACCATTGGTGACTTTAGTCTCGCACACCCCAACCAGGTAGTCGACAACTACCAACATGACTCAGTCCACTTGTCAATGACTTCATGGATTTCTGCCATGTTTTAGTTTGGCCGCCCCTAGCTTTCTTCCAACCTACTCCTACACCACAAAACATAGCTCGTTGAGGCAGTCGGTGGTTAGGCATACGTAACACATGTCCCAACCACCTCAAATGATGAAGTTTCAATGCTTCATCAGCTGATCTGCCATTCTTACCTAGAACCCATTTCCTAACAACAGCATTGCTTATACAGTTGTCCCATGATACACAAGCAATACTTCGGAGACTTACAATGATCGAAGACTAGTAACCACCTAAAGGAAATCCTCTACTCTTTTAACAGCCAATTATTTTTCGCCTACACAATTTCATTATTAAGTATATACTACTGAAATACTACTTTGTTTAAATAAATCTTCAATGTTTACTAATCTAACAACACATAATTATCAATAGTTTTTCGTGGTGTTATTTTTTTATTTTTTAATTTAAGCGCTTCAAAATCCTATTTTTTTGATAGAAAATTAAAACAAAATTCCTGTATCAAACAAAATTTTTAAAAGTTTTTTTTTAATTTTAATCTATAATCATTCGTAATCATGAAAATGTGAGGGGAAAAAAAGAAATCAAGATTTAACTAATTATTTATTTATTGACAGGAGTTGTTTACTGTTTGTTTGTTTTGAGTTTTTTTCCCAAATTTTATTTTATTTGGTTTGTGAGTTGATTACAACAACGCAACAAACTGTTGCGTTTTATTTTTTTTCATTGTTTCCCGTTTTTTTTGTAATTATTAGTTAACTTAATTACTATAATTAATCGGAATTGTATGCAAGTTAGGGAAAAAAAAAGAATTAAAGTTAATTTGATGAAATCCAACTATGATAAAAAGTAGTAGATTTGAGTAGATTTATACATACCATGGTGTAGTTTCTACTTTGATAGTTAGATAGATAGATAGATAGATAGATAATAAGTGTAAATTAGGTAACACTGGCCTTGTCTTTCATGATGTAAGACAGGTTAATAGTGAAGAGTATTCATCGATTGTCTTAACAACAAAGCCCTAGATCTCTTGGGTCTTGACCAAATCTTTAAGGTATAAAAGGTTTGTATGGCTTCGCAGATGACCTGGCTGTTTTATCGGACACACGTAACAACAAATGCAAGAAAAGATGACCGGTGTAACAGCAGTAGGTCTTAACATACATAAACGGAAAAAAGCAAGATTCTACGATACAGTAGAACATGAGTCAAACAAATCACGCTTGATGGGGGCGTCTTGGAGGACGTTAACACCTTTACATATATCTGGGCAGCAAGGTCGATTAGATGCAGATGTGAGGGTGCGGTTCGGTAAAGCAAGCGCTGCGTTTCTACACAATTGAAAAAAATATCTAGAACTCTAAACAAATATCAATCAACACCAAAGTCAATATTTTCAATACAAATGTCAAGACAGTTCTACTGAATGGGGGAGGAAAATTGGAGAACTACCATAGCCATCATCCAGAAGATACAAGTGTTTATGAACAGTTGTCTACGCAAAATACTTCGGATTCGTTGGCCAGACATAATCAGCAACAACTTAATGTGGGAGAGAACAAACTAGATTCCAGTGGAGGAGGAAATGAGGAAGAAGCGGTGGAAGTGGATAGGACACACACTGCAAAAAGCACCTAACTACGTCACAAGACAAGCCCTTACTTGGAACCCTCAAGGT